ACACACACACACACACACACACACACACACACACACACACACACACACAGAGTTACTACAAATCACTTTTTGGCACAACACCAGCTAACAGCCGAGTTTAGCTAAGTATACTAGCTAAGCTAGGTTTGAGTTTCCTAAAAATCACACTTTACCTCTGATAAACAGTTTGATTACATTCTCGCATCCTGAGACTTTGTTCGCTCATGTGTCCATGTCCAAAAGTGTTACATTCACTTCAAAGAAAGTTTCACTAATAACAGCTAACAGAGACTAACAGTAACTAACAGCAGCAAAACCAGCAACACTTCCACATATCTTTACCAACTCACCTCACTCACCACTCTATTTTTTCTAAGTCTAATAAAATGTCCTAAAAGACTGTATTATTAGTTCATTGGAAGTCTTTTGTATTTATTAATACTTGTATTACAGCTGATAAAATCACATTGTGTTTATACCTGAAATTTTGTTTGCAGTGCAATGTAGCAACAAATTGCTGACAGTTTTCTTCTGTATCAGATTTTGGCATCTCCATCCCTGTTGGCCATGTGGACTTCTTTCTGAATGGAGGGAAGGACCAGATTGGATGTGCACGCTCCAGGTTTGACTCAAGTAAGTTCAAGACCCACTAAAACAAAAACAAAAAGAGAGGGGGGAACTAGAAGGAAAGGATCTCTTTTTTTGTTGTTTTCACATTGGTGTCTTTCGCCCTTGTTTTTTGTTATAAATGAAATTCCAGTTACAGATAAGTAGATTTTGAGCAGAACCAGTTTTTCGTCTGGACATTTTTTCCCATTACTTTAATGAGAGTCTCTGGACATCGGTCTCCCTTAGAAGTTCAATATTTTGTCAGTTTTCTTGTATTTTTTAGTGTACAGTTATGTGATATGTGACCACATGAGGGCGCTGGACGTCTACATGAGCGCGCTGAACGGCTCGTGCCCGTTAATGGGGATCCCGTGCTCCAACTATGAGGACTTCCTGAAGGGACGCTGTATGGACTGCGACATCTTCAGAGGGAAATGTCCAGTAATAGGTAATAACACGTGGGTGACCACCTGCAGCACACGGACTGCTGCTGCTCCCTTTTATCTGCTGTTAGTTTCTAACTATCCTGTGTCTTACTGTGAAAAGCTGTGAGTGCATATTTTGGGAGTGTCATTTGTCTCTACAATAAAAACGCTTCTCAGCTCGAGATTAATATGACACTGAGTTATAAGTTATATTAATAGTCCTGCAGCCTATAGTGCTGCCTCATTATTTTTACAAGACTTGCTGCTGTCAGTGGTTCTTCCATTCTACTGCAAAACACTTGTTCCAACAATACAGTCTATTAACTATAAAGTAAATCTTAAGTATTTATAAAGTTGTTATGACATTTCACTTAAAGTAAACTGGATAGGTTCTTTTTTGCTTCCACCTCCAGTGGAGCCGACACTGTCACGTCGGCTTTTGACAGCTTCTTATTGTTTCAGCTTAATATACTTCTACATACTCATACAGACATAGTTAATGCACGTGAAATTACTTTTGACTCATTCCTTGTAATTATGTGTGTTCCAGGTTTATCAGAAAACAGTGGGATATCTATATCTCCCATTCCCAAAGAGCAGACGCTATTCCTCCTCACGACTTCTTCACAGCCATATTGTGGTGAGTGTTGCAGTGCATTTGTGAGACGGCGGAATTTTTCATTTTTTCTTAAAAAGAAATGTTATCTTCTTGAATCTCCTGTTAAGAAAAATGTAAAACTCTTGAGTAGTTTGAATGACGTTCATTAGACTTAACCTCTCGTCACTACACATAGAAGGCAGCTAAATTATTTTAATCATTTATGCACTCTGACTCTTCCCTACCAACCCACCAATAGCAAGATTTCCTCTTTCTACTAAACTAGCACGGTTTAACGATTCCTGTTTTACTGTACTTTGAAATGACATTTTTCCCACTGTTTCCCTGTTCAGCTCACCACATCCTGGTGGAGTTGGAAGTTTCGAAACTGGATAAGAGCGCTGAGATTGAAGTGACCCTGACAGCTGACATCCTGGAAACAAAGCAGATCCTCAGGCTGTAAGTATCACAAATACCATACGCATGTCATATTGCAAAGGTCCTACTCTTTAAAGTTAATGAATAGTACAATATGTACAGTTGGATGTACTGTTTTCAGTTCCATACCTAAAAAGAACAAATTAAAAAATTAGGAATGACCAAAACTCATCGCTAGCAGAAAAATCTGACTTTAAAAATGTCTGCATTCAGGATCTGAATCCCTGAACGTGCACTTTATTTGGTAAAGTATATCAACAGTTTCGGCATTCCCAAAAAAGCATCTGTTCTTGATGTTGCGGATCCCACATGAGGTGACTGCATCATGTAGGTTTTGTACCTGTGCATCCTTGATCTCCACTTCTGTTACATCCCAAAGTGTCCTTCTGAATTCAGAGCAGGTTATGGTCTCATGAGCACGTCACTTTCATGAGACCCGTTTGAGAAAGCAGCTTTTTGCTTTGTGATGTTTAGCATTATCCTGCTGGAAGCTGCCATTAGAAGATGATAAGTTGGGGCTATATAATGATGCACATGTAGGCTGATGCTTATTTGGTATCAAGAGGCTCAAAGTGCCTAAATAGTTGATTGAAGACATACAGTAAAGGAAGGTGAGCTGAGATTTCAGTAACTGTTGAATAAGACCACATGATAAAGATAGTTGTTCCTGTGTTTACAGAGACTAAAAGACAGTGATGAATATTGGTAGTATTTTCATACCAGTTTGCAGGTAAATTAAATTCAATAGGAATGTATAACAAGTCATTCTTTGTAAGCAATTTTTGTGTATTGTTTTTTTTTAGTGTTCACTTTTTATTTTAGCAGATGTATTGTATGGGTAGAATAGTTCAGATGGGAAAAGTTTTGGGAAAACATGTTTTCAGAGCACAAGTTTAGTGAGTTTAGTCATTTTTTTTATTAAATCTGAAGAATGGCACCACCTTTGTTTTAGCTGTGACTTCCCAGTATGATAAATGTTGATTGTGTGAAAGCGCCTGTCTCATCTTGTGTGGTTTATTATTTTCACATGCACTATATGTGTGTATTACAGTCAGACAGATACAACAGTGTACAAGACGGTGATGGCTCACTCTACCCCCCAGTGTGAAATCAACTCCATCAGGCTGACAAACACAGGAGCTCGCTTCTACAGACAGGCAGAGATCCACATCAAGTCTGTCTGTGTGACTGAGTTTCCCTCTCTCAGGTAGGACGCAGGCACAACATGCACATAAATATAGTTCAGTTCAGCCGCCAGTCCTATTCTCATTGAAACAAATACTGGACTGCTTTTTTTAATATGTTCTGTAGCACATAAAAAGTCAAACACAACATTTACCAATGAATTTTAACAAGGCACGATTTACAGGCAAACACCTGTATGCTCAGCATATGCTACAATTTGCTTATTCCATCCATCCTTTCCATTTTCTTAACTGCTTATTAGGGTCATCGGGGGGCTGGAGTTTATCCCTGCTGTCTTTGGATGATAAATTTGCCAAAATATGTAAACACACAGCTTCAGTTTGTTGTTATTGCAGTTTCCTGTTACAGTACTTTGGACAAACAGAAGCAAACGTTGCTGCAATGAGTCAATGAAGGTATAGTTTTCAGCAATACATGTTGTTGTTTTGTCACCCAAAGCCTTACAGCAAATTGCTCTACAGAAATGCCAGCGATGATGTTCTCTCTTTAGGTAATTAAGAAACAGGGTAAACGGACATACTAGAGAATAGTGTCAGGTCTGTCAGCTGTTTAATGTGCCAGTCCTGCAGTCTGCTGAAAGGTTATGTCATGATATGAGAGAGAGTTGAAACCAGATCGTGCCAGTAACACACAGTGTTGTCCAAAATGTAAAATCCATTCATTCTGTCCTTTTTGTCCCACCCTTAGGTTGGCATAAACCTGAAATAACCCTGAAATGAGTAGTTTACAGAGCATTACTGTTCCTCAGAGATCACCAGTGGGCGGCCTTCTCTTTGTGATCAGTAGCTGGAAGTTGAGTTACTTGAGCTTCAGATCAAACCTAACCTTTTGCAGAAAGTGTGAATTTGGCCAGTATCAAAAATGTGCTTAAAGTTGCTTAAATAGTTCTTTATTTCACTTCGGGGAGTGTAGAGAGCTGACCACATGATTCATGATTGCGCCATCTCGTCTCTCACCCCAGTGTTTCCTGTTTATCTCGCCTCTCTTTCTATGAACAAAAAAGGCTAACAGGCCAACATTAATCATCCTAAAAATCAGTATTTGGACACTGACACCATGTTTGTAATTTTGCCTCTGTACACCACCACAAGGGACTTTAAATCAATCAAGATATGATTGTAGTGCAGACTTACAGCCATTTTCAGAAGCTGAAAAGTAATTGGACAAACTAACATAATTTTAAATATAAGAACTGTTTTTAATACTCTATGAAAATCCTTTGTGGTCAATGACTACCTAAAGTGTAGGACTCATGGACATTACCAAAGCCTACAGCTGCCTTCAGATGCTGCTTCTTTGTGAGTGTCTTTGCATTTAGTTTTATCTTCAGTAACTCAAAAGCATGATCTGGTCATGCTACAGAGTCTACAGAACTGTGCAGACTCTTTCAGATGTTTTTCTAATCGGTCTAATCTGGCCTTACTGTTCTTGAGAATAATCAGTGGTTTGCACCTTTTTTGTATTTCCATTCATGAAGGTCGACTTTGACAGTTATTTGCAGGGGTGCACATAAGTGGTCCGCAGGTGTGCATGCGCTGTCAAAATAAAAGCCCTGCACCAGATAAAAAATTGCAACGCGCGTTTGTGTGCATGTAAAAGGCACTGTTTTTGTCCGCTACCGTGGGATTTTCACGGCATATTCTGCACCACATCTCTATGTGTTCATCATTTGTTTGAAACCAGCTCACCTCCTGCAACCACTTTTCCGAGAATACGCGCTTCTTTTGCGGTTCGGACTCCTTCTGACATTTCTTTGGAGGTGGAGGAACACCAAAGTAACTGCTTAAAGGAGTTAATAGAGTTTAAGAGAGGAGGAAATGTCTGTCCTCCTCCAGAAAATCTTATGTACGCAATCGCGCGTTGCAACTTCTTATCTGGTGCGCGTCTTTTATTTTGACAGCGAATGTGCACCTGCGGACCACTTATGTGCAGCCCTGGTTATGTGTCTACCTCCCTGAGAGTGTTCTTGACTCAGATGGGTTTTTTTACCTTGATAATAATTTTCCAGTCATCTACTTCTTCTGTCTTCCATGGTCTTTTGCTGGTACTGCTGATTGGGCAGTAAAGTCCTCCTTTATTTGTTTAAGATCATTTCTAAAAAATTTTCTTTCTTCTTCAAATTTTCAAATGCTAGACTGGTGAGCTGTCCAGGGTGCACCTCGCTTCTCTCCCTGTGATAGCTGAGATGCTGGCATAGTCTCCAGGATCTGCTTAATTTGTCATGGAATTATAGGAAACGGGGCTCATTTGGCCATAAAAACTGTTTATCAATTGTCCAGTTACTTTTGAGCCTCAGAAAATGGGCACTGCATATAAAAATGTCAGTGATTCCTAAACAGTTACTGGATTCTTACAATGAATATGCTACATATATTCACTTGGACTAAAGTCTGTTTTGCACAAGTGTGTGTTTTTGTTTTTATTCTTTCAGGCGCAAAGATCCTGTGTGTGTGAACAACATCAACATCAAACGGGGAGCTCGGTGGTCCCACGACCTTGTGCAGTTGTGTGACTTCTAAAGAGAATGATCTCCTCGACAACAATTGAAAAGTGCATAGTGTGCAGCAATCTGACCTATGAAGATACTAACACAGAGATGGTTTCACATTTTTATACCTTGTTTAATTTTGAGAAAATATCATTGGAGTTCAACCTCAGGGGGCGGAGCCTTATATTTTCTAACATCATGACTAAAACTGGGGGGAAAAAAGGTTATTTACATTATCAGTATTTCTGGTACAATATTATTAATATTATAATTATCTTTCTTTTTTGCCTATACTCACTAAAGCGTTGAAGTGTTAATGAAACCAAACAGTCTAGTTTCACATCCTAAACCCTTGTTTTTTGTTCTTTTAGCATTAAATGCAGCAACAAACTCTTAACCATGTCTTTCTTTTCTCCTGATTTCAGGGCTAAAAGGATTTGTCCTTTTGCACTGAGGTGAATCTGTGTGTACTTTGACTTTTTGGGGGTGGAACATAAATCATTTTGAGCATCATCACAGTGCTACATAGTGCGGTTGGGACAGATATGACAGGAAGCTAACAGTCAGAAAATAAACAACTTAAATCATCTGGAGAAATCTTGGCCCCATGAAAGAATGTTTTCTAAATACTTAGACTTCATTTTAGTCTCATCACTCGTCTTTTGAATTCAATAACACACAAATACCATGATTCACATTATGCCTGTGTATTAAACACACCAATGTTTAAAAACATTTTTAAAAAATCAGGCTTCTAATATATATATCACCAGAGAGCATGTAAAAGGATGAATTTGGTAATCTGATCACTAATCTAAACATGACACATCAAAACATTGCAGTGAAATGGTAGAAGACAACAGAACCAGTTGGCAGGTAAAATGTTCCAGACAGGTCTGAAAAGATCAAGGATACAAAGCCAAATGCTTTCCAGAGCTTGAAGGAAGATTTGATTGTAATGTACATCTGCCAATGTTAAGCTGTTTCATAACTTAAATCATGTATTGTCAAAGCTATTTAAAATCAGACCCAGAAAATGTGCAGCAACCCTCCTACATTACATCAACATTCATTAAAATAATTATTTATTTGTGAAGCAAATTTCCAAAGTGAAATGTAACATTAAATCACGTGAAAATCAAATCTGAATAAAAAACAGTTCCAATCTGAAATGTAAGCAAATTTAGTCACACAATATGAAATGACATTTTAGACATTAAATGTGCTGGTAGGTAACAAAGTGAAGGCTGCCTGTCCTCAGTTCTACAGTGCCAATCAATATGATAGTGTAAATATGATTTTATTTGGGGCCTAATTCATAGATGAGGACATGTTGATAAAATATCTGCAAGATAGCATGTCTGCTGGAGAGATCTTTCTCTGAGTCTTTTAATTTGTTAAACATGTGATTTTATAGTCTACTGTATTTAAAATGTTAAAGGCAGATTTCAGACTCGTGGTAGAGAGGCCATGAAAGATCAGATACACTGCAACTGAAGAAAACACCAGCAAATGGAAAAATGTAGCAAAAGCACAAAAGAACACAATGGAAGCGCTAATTAGCATTAGCAAAACAGAAAAAAATAAAGTGGAAAAACACTGCAAAAGCTTACCAAAACAACAACAAAAAATACCCTCACAAAATACTGTTTTTTGGAAGACATTAAAGTGACAGAATAGCTGCAAAAGTGCCAAGATAACAGTCAACGGCTAATAGCAAACATGTCGCTACAGTATTACATGAATCATGCAATTAAAACACACATTACCTGGATCATTTTCTCCCTCACAACAGAAATAAGTTTTTGTTTGCTGAAGAGATTTACCACTGAAACATTTTTCAATGGGGTCAGTAACATCGCAAGCAAAATAATACGAGAAGGCCCAAATTGAGATTCACTAGCTTAGCTATAATTGCATTACATGCTAATTAGCTTAAAAATATTAATTGTGATGCATAATTTTGGCTGTTCCACATATACAATTGACTGTGGCCGTAGGATCACTGCAAAATTCTACAACAAAATAACCGGCGCACACTGAACCTGACTTCTGCTACTATGGCTAGTAGCAAACATGTATCTACAGTACTGTATGAAGCATGCGATTAAAACACATTACCTTCCAACTTTTCTCCCTCACAACACAAATAAATTTTCTGCTTCTTTTAAACGAGTCTCAGTGCAATCCTTCATGTTTAGGTTTCTGTCACTTTCACAAATTATTGTCTCCCAAAAAAACACTTATGTTGTGAGATTTTGTTTTTTTCTGCTTTAATATCTGTTGAGTTTTATTCACTTCCTTCGTGTTTTATTCAACTTCTGTGTTTTGTTTTGGCTTTTTGCAGCATTTTTGTGCTTGCCAGTGTTGTCTTAGGTTGTAGGTCATTTACGCTCTCAGGGTCACTGTATTTTGGGATAGCATGGCCTAAAGGCCTAAAGACTAAATGGTAACAAGGAAAATGTTAACACTCCTAAATAATATGTCAAACTGTTAAAAGATGTCAGTAAGGTTTGTTGTATGACTTAAATTTTAATTCAAATAGTTAAATGTTAAGAATTTATATTCTTCATACTCTGGACTGAAGAACAGAAACAGAGAAAGAGGAGGAGATGGTATAGTAGTGTTTCCAGGAGAGACGTCTCACAGTTTAGGGGTTTCAGTGGGAGCCAGCGGCGCTCTGACCCTCTGGAATCGAGGTGGTAGATTCCCATCACCTCCTGCAAAGCCAACATCAAAGCTTAAATTTAGTTCCATTAAGTTAAGATGGATGCGATCTTGCAGCAAACTCGTGTCCACACCAATTTCCTAATTGCATTACAGATGACGAAAACATGTTGCGCTCCTATAAAGTGAAACAGTAATAAGTAGCAAACTAGAGATACTCTTGTAACAGGATCACACGTGGCATGATGTCAGGTTCTTGGATACCAACTGGCTGCTGATTAAGGGATGTCTGCCAAAAAAGCCTTACTAGTAGACAGAGTGCATTTGGTTGTAGTGGATCCCGTGACAAGCACTAGATTTTTGCAGCAGTGTTGTTTCCTTGGTGAAACTAAATGTTGGTCTTATTTCTATTTTAGACGTGGTTGGCTTTTTTTTTTCTCGGTTAATTTGTGGTTAGATTTAGGCACCAAAACCACTAGGGCCTTTTCATGATGTTAACCAGCTGTTAGGAAGCTTTTCTGTCATAAAACTCTAAAGGCAATAACACCCACCAATTGTCACCTTTGGCCTTCGTTTTGATGTAAGCCACACAGATGTAACAGTTCTTGCACAGATGAGATGAAATCTGTCTCAGTGTGTGCCAAAATACTCAAAGCTACCTTTGTAGTTCCTTGTATAGTGTCCTCAGGAAACACTCATTTAAACTGGAGTTTTACTGATAGTCAGCAGTTTGTTACTTGTAGGATATGAGAACATATTTCTAAGTTTAACTTCGTCCAGACAAGGTGGGCACCTCTGTGCTGGGTCCTGGCCATGATTTATTTATTTTGTTAAATGCAGCTGGTGCAGTTTTTCAAGGATTATCAAGGATGACACATTCATTGAAGTAACCCCCCCCCCCCTTCTTTTTATAGGTTCAACAGCTTCCTTGTCACTGACTCCTACCCGCCTCCAATTTATATTTTAAATTTTCTCATTAATTGCAAGAAAAATTGTCAATATTTGATTGCCCCAAGTATTTCTTTTCTGTGATACCCAAGGATGTCCAATCTAGAGCTACAGTTTTGCAGTACAAAGAGACACTGTGGCACTAAGTCAGGGGCGGGGAACTCCAGGCCTCAAGTTCCCCTGCAGGTTTTAGATGTGTCCTTGATCCAACACAGCTGATCTAAATGGCTAAATTACTTCCAGAAGCCTGGTAATGAACTAATCATGTGACCCAGGGTGAGATCTGAAACCTGCAGGGACATCGGCCCTTGAGGCCTGGAGTTCCCCAAAACTGCTGCAAGGAGTCACGGGTGAAAATAATACCAGAAGAACCAAACTGAGATTCCCTAGGTTGGTCATAATTTCATTAAATGCTAATTAACTTAACTATATAGAATTGACTATGTGCACCCTATGGTCACTGCACTAGCTGCCTTGATGCCCTTATCATGTAGGTTATAAAACAAAATAACGGGCATGCATTAAACCTTTCCATTTGTCTAGGTTCAAAAGCAGGGCTGGGCAACTCCAGGCCTCGAGGGCTGGTGTCCTGCAGGTTTTAGATCTCACCCTGGGTCAACAGACCTGAATCAAATGATTAGTTCATTACCAGGCCTCTGAAGAACTTCAAGACATGTTGAGGAGCTAATTTAGCCTTTTGAATCAGCTGTGTTGGATCAAGGACACATCTAAAACCTGCAGGACACCGGCCCTCGAGGCCTGGAGTTCGAGACCCCTGTTCAAAAGGTTGTTGACCCTTTTCCCTCTTGAATACTTGAGTGGATTTTAGCATTTACACTCTCAAGAAACTACTGTGCTTGCCTGTAAATAGCCAGACACTACACAGCAAATATCTGCAGTATACTTGTTCTGTGTTCATATTATTAATGTCATGAATGTGAATGTTGAATGCTGGTCACTGCCTGCTGTGATTCAGAGGAGCAAACGGCTTATGTTTTTCTTCAGTTCCATTTCAGAGTTTACGGTTGCTCATCCACTCACACAGACCCACAGATGCGATGACTATGATACATTTGCGTGCAAGAAGAGGATTTCTTTCCTTGTAGTGTCCTGATTTTTGAAATTTTGTGAGCATATGATTGCTTGTCCAACCCGCTTTGAAGTCATTGACTCCAATCTGAACTGAGACGTATGCTGCAGCTATGACAGATTTGACCTGCTGCTTCACAGCTGCTGTGCAACCCAAGCCTGACACTGACTCCACTGTCCAGCTGTGAAACGTGATCCTCCACCTGTGATTGGGCAGGGCAGACAGAGATGGAGGGGAGGGGTGAACAGATAAGCAGACAGAAAGCCAAAGGGTGGGGACACTGGATTAATAGCATGGCACGGAATTTTCTGAACATCCCCTAAATTTACAAGCTCTAATCCTCGTCAGATAAGGACACAGCTGGTGCCTGCCCAACCTCAACAAAGCCTCATCATCATGTAATGAGACAGATGAGAAAGTAAAGAAACAATTCCCCACAGACACACACACACACGGAAAATACACCCACACACAAGGCCCAATCGACTGTCTACAACCACAGTGGGCCCACTCTATGTTCATTTGTTAAAGTGTTTTCACTATTTACAGAGAACAAGTTTAACTCTGCTAACTGTGCCAGACATAACTAAGCATGTGAGCTGCGTGGCCAAAGCACCCTAATGCATAGCAGCTGGCAGGGAGTTCTGATTTTAAAGCATGGGAGGAGGCCAGCAGAAAAGAATTCCAGCCACCATTTAATGGCAATCTACCATGAGCATGAACTAGTTAGAAAGTTTTTAACAAAAAAAATACAAGTGCAATGATTAGTCAGATTTATTGTATATGTTGAATACTTTTAAATGCAAAAGAATTCCTCTCAAGATAAATGAAATAAGGGGAAAAGAGTCAACTTTACAGCAAAACGACCTTTTAAATCACCTGTTTCGCTAGTGCTGGATGATGTGATGGTGCATTGAACAAATGTTGGCTAAATTAAGTGATCCAAACTATTAACTGTGTGCTAGCTGTAAATTTTTTTTCTAATTGATAAGCCTTCAATTTGACCTAATCTTAGCACATTTGCTAATAATGCACATGTATCTATTTAATAATAGAAAAACATGTCCAGTTGTCAAGGAATTATAGACCTTTGATTTGATTTTTTAAGTTTAAGTAGAAACACCTTCACTTGAATTTCCAAGCTCCTGTTTCTGAGGTCAAAAAATGAACTTTGAACCACATAAATGGGATTTTCTTTTTAGGATATTCTTAGGTCATATATACACATACTTTTCACATATGTACTTTAACACAAAAGAATACACATGTAATACAAAGTCGTATATGTATAACTTTACATGTAAAACTTTTATGCACTTTCAAAGTAAAAGTATTTATTATTCCATTCCCTTCAGTGTGTTAATGATATAATTATTAACAATAATATTATAATTTATTGTTATTAATTCCATGAACATCTAGGCAGAATATTGGATGGCTGAGACTTGTCAGATTTTATATAATTAACCTTTGAATGTGTTTTTGGGTCATTTGAGCTGTTGATCTGTCGTAATGTAAATAAGGTAAAATTAAAACCACACTAATTCTTGTTAAATGCAGTGAAAATGGAAATACTTAAAATGAATGTACAACCAAAACAAACACTCAAATGAACTCATATTTGTATTCTGAGACTCTACTAGAGTAGATTTTCCTTGTTTACACATCAAAATAATTCATATTTATAGTTGTGGTCAGAAGTTTACATACACTCAACATGGGCTTGATGTCGAGGCAGATGTGAACTGTTATTTTTCCAGGGTAGAATAGCTCTTTAATGTCTTTACAAAACAAGAATTGGATGGATTGTTTTTTGTTTTTGTTTTTTCTCTAATCAACACATGGTTAAAAGTATACATGCACCGTTTACTAATGTTTGGTTAAATGTTAAACGTTTAATCTCAACCAGATGCTTTTGGTAGCCATCAATAAGCTTCTCACATATAACTATGTGGATATGTGACCACTCTTCTTGTCAGACTTGGTAGAGTTCATTGAAATTGGTTGGTGTCTTGGCACAGACCCAGTTTTTAAGTGTATTCAACAAATTTCAAAAGTTGAGGTCAAGGCTTTGGGAAAGCCATTCCAGAAACTTAATGGAGCAATTTCTAAACAACTGCAGATTCCAGGATCGTCAGTTCAAAGAACAGTACCAAAGTACAAGCTGTTCCCCTTTTTCAAGTTACAGAGCACTTTGAGTGCTCAAGTGAAAGTGGAAGCAATATATAAGAACCAGACCATTTATTCAATGTGTCATCATGTTGCCAAGCTCTGGAAGTAAACTGCAAACTGTTAACCAACTTCCTCTTATCTCAGGGTCAGGGTCATGACCAAAAAGAAGCCTTGCTCCAAAATGAGCTTGACTGAAATTTGCAGCTTCTCACATAAACAAGCCAAAGTTTTATGTTCAGACGAGACAAAGATTAAACTATTTTTCCACAATGATGAGGTATGTTTACAGGAGTCGCAAGGTTTTCAGACCTAAAGACACTTTACCAACTGTCAACCAAGATGGTTGGACCATCATGTGAAATAATAAACAAGGAAGAGTATCTCCAGATTCTTCAACTTCAACTTGGAAGGGATAAATCAGGCTAACATTAAGATTCTGGAATGGACTTCAACCTCAACCTCATGCTTAATGGTCAGATCCATGCCAGGATATTAAGCAATTTAAAATCAGCCAGAAAGGTGGTCAAATACCCAACCAGAACTGTGCCAGAAGCTTGTCAATGGGTTGTATGTATCCAAAATTCAAAGTTGTGCACCCAATTCTTGTTTTTGATCGTCATTAAAGACGTGTGCTGTACAATCATTCCACTCTGGAAAAAAAAAAAGGAAAAAAAATCAAGCCCAAAATTACCATGCCCATGATGCCTGGATATAAACTTTAGAATTGAGTTCAGTTTTATTTTTATATGGAACCAAATCACAACAGCAGTCATCTCAAGGTGCTTTATCTTGAAAGGTAAAGACCCTACAAAAATCCAAACACATCTGTATCCTTGTATCTTTCACTGGGCCTTTGTGCAGCCCCTCAGTTCATCCACGCTCTGAAACAAGTTGTTTTAGTGCCTGACTGGCTACTCCTCACAAACAGAAGGTTTAAACAGCACATGGGTGGGACTACGATAACCATATTATGAATATGTTCTCTCTTTGACATCATAAAGATCCACGATGGGTAAAACTTCTTGCCCTCAACTTTTGACTCACAAGGATTACTTGATGACTTTATCATTTGAGACTTGTTTAATAAGAGCATCCGCCATCTACCAACATATATATGACAAAAATGAGGAGTAAGAGTAATAGGTCCACTAATGTTGAATAAAATAATGATTATATTAATTATCATATCAGTCATTATCATTATAATGATTAATATGATTATATTGCAACACAAAGCCGGGTTAGTAACAAATGTGTACCACAAGCCTTCCATGCACACACACCACCCCATACAACCCTTCGCCCAGGTGCGGTACTTACATGTAGCTTAAGTGGTGCCCCCGTGTGTTAGCTCCAGCACCCTCCCTCTCTACCTCAAATATTCCCTCTCACTGCCATAATCCGTTAAGGAGCCCGCCACATCAGCAAAGTCCTCCAGGACTAAGCTGGTGGAGTCCTCACCGATGGGCAGCTCCGGGTCAGACGCCCAGGAAGGGTGATAAGGGTCATGCAAGGGTTCTTCCACGGCTGTCTTCATTGGTCCCTGAGGTTTGGGCTGGAGAGGCTGAGGTTTAGATCTGTCAGGCATCTGGTAGGTGAGCTCTGGGTCTTGGCACTGCTGTTCAGTTTGTTGCTCCCTGGCAGGGCCTCCATCACTACCGCTGCCACCCTCACTGCCCTGCGAGGCAGGAGCTAGCACGTGGTAGAGGCTTGGCAGGCGGATGTCCAACAACACGCCACTTTTGATGTAGAGCTTGTTGTTGAGGTTGTAGAGCTTTTCAGCAATGTCGTGTCCCAGCATTACAGAGAAGAGACGGGCGATGTAGCGATCCTTTGATATCACCATGTAGAGGCGGCGGCGACGCCATGAGATGTAACGGGAATCTTCCTCTGCTGTCAGGGTCACCTGGGCAGAATGAATGACACACCATACTATCAGTGTATAAAAGAGGCACTTTAGAACCTTTGACCACTATTAGCAGCATGGAACAACGTCATTAGAAGCTGGCTCTGGTTTTGCTTGCAAGCATTGGAGCAATAGCCTCACCGACATATTCTCATTCCCAAAGCACCACATACTGACAAAGCTTCCGGGTAAAATAAATGGAAAGAAAGAAAGAAAGAAAGAAAGAAAGAAAGAAAGAAAGAAAGAAAGAAAGAAAGAAAGAAAGAAAGAAAGAAAGAAAGAA